TTTATTTAGAGACAGGGTCTCCCTGAGTTGCTTAGTGCCTTGCTGTTGCTGAGGCTAGCCTCAAACTTGCAATCCTCCTTCCTCAGCCTCCCAGGTGGCTGGGATTAGAGGGGTGTGATTTTTGACAGAGATATAAAGCAGAAACTGGAGGAGGGACAGTCTTTCAACAGGTTGCTGAGCCAGGAGTAAAATGGAGATAAGCAAAAAATGAACCTAGACATGAATCTCACCCATCACATTAAAATTGACTCAACATACATCATGGGCCACCTGCGAGCTGTGCAGCCACAGGGTGGGGACGTTTGGGCTGGGTGAGGTGCTCGTGCAGATGACACTGGCCCCACGCACAGGAGGGTCAGCGCCAGACTGGACTTCATCAAGTGTACAGACTTCTGCTTGCAAGAGACGGTGAGGAGGGTGAGAAGCCAGTCCGGGGGCCGGCCGGGGTGGGGGAGGAAATAGCTGCAAACTCCAGGCTGGCAAAGGGTGTGTCTTCAGCAGGCACCAAGGAGCTCAGAGCCACACGTGGTGACTGCTCCAAACAGGAGGGGGACAGAAGACAGGAGCGGGTCCAGTGCGGGGGACAGATGGGAGGACACAGGCAAACTGTGCTGCAGGGTTCGTGGCGAGGGAGACGTCTTGAGCCGGGGTGACCGATCACTACACGTCCAGCACAGCAGCGACCACCCCAACGCCGGCTGGGCTGCAGAGGGGCCGGCCCCCCACATGGACACAGCCCTGCCCGAGGGGCCTGGAGCCTTTCTCAGCCCACACCCCGTCTGGAGTGGCCCCGAGGCCCATGTGCTGAAGGCCCGATCCCAGCAGGGTGCTCCTGGGGGCAGGTGGAGGCCCAGCCCCGTGGGGGAAGTGAGGCCGCTGGGGCGTGCCCTGGAAGGATTGTGGCCCCCCACCGCTCCTCACCTGCCCCACGGGTGGGCAGCTTCCCTGCCACGTGCTCCTGCCACCATGCTCCACCTCAGCTCATCCCCCAGAGAAACAGGCCAGGCGACCGAGGACCCAGCCCTGAAACAGAGGAAAGGCAGACCTCTCTCCGTCCCTTAAGGATGGGTCACCGTGGGAAGCCCACTGAGGCCGGAGTGCAGGAACGGCCTCGGGGCCTTTGCTGCCGAGAAGTGAAGACGCACTGGAGCCGTTCCACGCCAGGCCACTGTGCCGTCCTCTGCCAGGACACGGTGCCTGCCCCTCTGGGCCACGTTGCCGTCCCCTCCAGGCCGTGGTACTGACCCTCTGGGCCCTGAGTGGTGGGGTGCTCTCAGTAGCTCTGTTTACTCATCTTTTCTCACTTTGTTTTTTGGTCTTGAGGATAGAACTCGGGGACTCGTGCAGGCCAGGCCAGCCCTGTGCCCCTGTGCCCACCCCATCCGCCAGCCTCTTGCAAGAGCCCAGCGCCCTCCTTGGATGGCAAGCTGAGGGAGGTCTGCGACCACAGCCTTCTGCTCTGCCGTGAAAGGACCGAGCTACGGACACACAGCACCTGGATGAGCCCCCAGAGGACAACTGGGAAGGCCAGTCCCCAGCGGTCACTGTTACGACCCCATCTATTCAGCGCTCTTGAAACAAGCCACAGAGGTCAAGTGCAGATTAGGAGTGGCGGGGCTGAGGGGACGCAGGGGAGGAGGCCTGTGTGGCTACAGAAGGCGGCAGGCGGGGTCCCCGATGGGCCCTCCTGTGTCTTGATGGTGGTTCCTGCAGCGGCACGTGTGACAGACTGCGCAGAAGTGCAGGCACACACCCGGTGCGCAGGGACGCTGGCAGGCCTACAGAGGCGGGGCGGTGCCGACTCCTGGGTGTGGCCCGGTGTCACAGCCCTGCAGCACCCCACGGGGGCAGGCCGAGGGGCTTGGCTCCACTGTTTTGGGAGCTGCATGCGATTCTATACTTTTCTCAAAATAGTTTTATAAAAGACGCTTCTTCCAGTGAAAGCCTCCCACCGTGGACCTGATGAAGGTGGGTGCTCGGGGCGGTGGGAGGGACCCAAGCCCTGGCCACAGGCTCCTGCCCGAGACCCTCAGGGACCAGGCCCCGGGCACCCCTCCTCCAGGCCCTCCTGTGTCTCTCCAGCTGGACCTTCTCCTGGGAGCCCTGATTTGGGCCCCTCCTGGGGGACCTGGATTCCGGCACTTGTTTCTCTGGAAGGCATCTGGATCCCAGGTCAGTCGATGTCCCCAGGACACGCTCCCTCCTTACGCTGAGCTGATGGGGCATAGGGTTGGTTTGGAGCAGGCAGGAAGCGCAGGGGCAGTGAGGGTGTGGCATCGGGGCACACAGAAGGAGGACGTGCTCTTCCTGTGCCCCACGGGCTCAGCAGGGTTGGCGTCAGACCCAGGGGACCTTCCTGGACTTTGGTGGGACCTGGGAGGAGAGGGCGCCCTCTCCGGGGCCGGTGGCGGGGAGGCCAGTGTGGCCCTGGAAGACTTCCCTGAGAGTGACCCATCAAGGCCGAGGAGAGGGCCAAGGAGTGGTGAGCAACAGTCTGGAAAGTTCCGTCTCCGCCGTGGGAACAGGAAGAGCTGCCACCACCTCTGGACTCAATCCACGAGGGCCAAAGCGTGGCCATCCCACGGGGCCCTGAGGTGGCTCTGCCCTCTGCTTCCTGGGGAGATCTAAGGGTTGTGACCCGAGCCACAGTCTGTGCTGCTCTGCTGAAGAGGGTGGCACCGAGCGCCAGGCCCCCTGCCCGCAGGAGCAGGCCAGCCGTGTCACAGAGGGCGTCAAGCAGTGAGGGGCAGGGAAGGGAGGGTGATGTGGGCTGGTGGCCCTGGGCCCAGGCCGTCACTGCTGTCCCCGGTGAACGCAGCGCTCTCAGCCTGTCCGTATTTAGGCTTCCCTCCACTCCTTTCCACGGGCACCTGAAGCCCTTCCTTGGTCTCGCCTCCAGAGCAGGTGGCTGACTCCTCACCCCAGATGCCATGAGCTCCCCATCACTGTCATCTACCGAGGCACAAGAGGAAGCTGCCGAGGCGGTTTCCAGGTCCTGGGGACCTGCGGGGAAGGCTGCCATGCTCTTTTGGACGCCTGGTCCTTGCCCTTGATGGGCTGACGGAGGAGAGGGCTGGCTCAGGGCGGCCAGACTGGGCACCGAACGGGTCCTTCCAGCACGGAGCCGGACTGTGTCCCTGGGGCTCTGACAGGGCCACTGACGCACAGTCCTGGAAAGGCTCAGGTGGGGGAGAGAAGGCACAGTGGAGGGATCAGGGCCCCGGGCAGGGCCAGCCCTCACAAGGCCACCTGTCGGCCGGGGTCCCCAGACTCTTCAGGAGGCGAGGGAATCGCTGCGTTTGTAACCCTAATGGGCAAACCAGCCACACGTTGGGAAGACTTTCACTTATTGATTTGTTTTAAAGTAAGATGTGGAAAATTGATTTGTGATAGAAGGGCCCGGAGAATCCCGCTGCCTTTCAACAGGCCTGGGCCAGGGACATGGCCCTGACCCCCACAGGAATGCACCCAGTTGTGCCCACCCTCTAGAGCTGCGCTTGCTGCCCTCGTGGCTTTCTGTGGAGGCCTGTAGATAATTTCCTCACCCATCACCTGTCCCTGCCTCTCTAGGGACTGCCGGGGGGGGGGGCAGGATGCTGCAGAAACCGTGGCACAGCCGTTCCCTCTCTCCGGGGACACTGGGCTCACCACCCTCACAGTCCCCAAGACAATCAATCGAGAATGCGATTCCTGTTGAAACTGTGGCCCCCGGGACAGAGACCTTCCTGCCCCAGCGACACCATGGGTCCTCCCTGGGACTCAGCTGAGCAGGTGGCTTCTGAAGCTGGCCCCGCCTGCTCTGCGCACCCTGGATGCCATCGCAGAAGTGGCCTCCGTGTGCTTCCGCAGAGCCCAGAGCCGACCTGCCTGTGGGCCTGCGGAGAGCAGGGCTGGGGTGGCCGGCTGAGACGCAGGACACCAGTGAAACCCCAAGTTCAGCTCCACGGGGAACCTTCCAAATGTAAGTCTGTCCCCCAGTTGCTTGGACAGCTCGTGTGGCCGTGTCCCCTGTGTTTCCAGTTGTCCTGGGAGCCTTGTGCTTCCGTGGCCACCTCCAGCAACCCTCGCAGAGGCCTTCTTAGTGACCTCATCGGCCCCTGCCCAACACAAGCGGGCAGTGCTGTTCTCACGGAGGACCCTCCCGCCCAGGAGGCAGCAGAGTGGGGGCTGGTCTTTCCACACAGAATGGGGTGTTGTTAACCCCCGGCCAGAGCGCCTGCTGCAGGTCTGAACCAGCAGGTGGACTGGCTGAGACCACCTCCAGCAAGTTCCCTGGGGCCGCTGCCACCCGTGGGCCACCAGCTGCTGACTGCTTCCCTATGCTCCACCCCGCTGGCTGTGAGGCTCCACCCTGCGGACGGGGAGAGGACGCCCACTTCCTGGTAGTCACAGGGACACCTGCTTAGTAAGGGCCTGCGGCACATGACCAAGCCGTCGCCATCAGCTGTGCTACAGGGGAGCCTGAGGAGGGACAGGCCCTTGGGTCAGCTCTGAGGGGACAGAGGGCCCTGCACATGGGCCCCCTCCTGGAGCTGGGGGAGCCTGGGCTGTTTCCTATTGTGTGTGGAGCCAAACCCAAAGTGGAGCCCAGGAGACCTCGGATGACAGGTCTTGGCCTCCGGCTCCTTTCCTGCCCAGGGCCCTGCAGGAGCTCCCCGTCCCCAGCTCACCTGCAGCTGACCTCAGACCCCTGCTGGGTGCTGCTCCTCCCCAGGCTCCAGTCCCCAGCCCACAGGATCCCTGAAGAGGGGCCTTCCCGGTTGACAGTGTCCCCCTGACTCTACGCCCGGTTTCCTCCCACGCCCACGTCGCTGCGGTTCACGGTGCTGTCACCCCTTGGTCTGCACCCCGCTGCACCCTGAGGCCCGTGAGCCTGTCTGGTGCGCCCTGTCGGTGGGTGAGACCGTGGCACCCGCGCAGTGGGAGGCCCTGGAGACCCGCCCCTGCCCGGCAGAGCCTGAGGGTCCCGTGCCGGCGGCTGTGTCCGAGCGGCGGCCCACCTGGCTTGGAGCCCTCGTCCACGGAGCCGTTGTAGACCTGGTTCAGGAACTCGGGGCGGTTGTCATTCATGTCGATGACGTAGATGTACAGGTCGATGGGGTTCTCCACCTTGTTGCCGTTCATGTCCACGGCGTGGGCCCGGAGCTGGGGGCAACAGACACGTCAGAGCCACAGCCACCTCAGGGTACCCCTGGCCCCGCCTGGGGCGGTTCCCTGGGGACGGCCGCACGAGGGAGGCATGACAGCAGAGGCAGCTGGGCAGGGGACGGAGGGCTTTGGTACATCCAGAAACTCCTCTGACTCTCAGTTCTCACCTCTGTGCAAATGTGGCCCAGAGCAGGAGCCGGGCTGCCTTCTGGAGTCTCCACTGGCCGAGACTTCCAGGGCCTCCTGGCTCTTCTCAGACTGTCCCCAGATGCCTGGGGTAGGTAGGGACCCCTTAGTGGGAGTTATGTCCCCACAGTGGCCACAGAAGGCCACTTATGCACAGTAGAGTCAGGGGCTTAATGCCTGTTCCCGGGAGTCGGCCCTGGGTGGAGGCTGGGGAGAGGCACGGGACAGAGAGGACCCAGCCAGGTGAGGCTGGTTTGGGCGTCCACTGTAGGTCAGCCTAGACGGCTCACCCCGTCTGCTCCTGCTTGCATGTCGGTTCTAGGGCCTGGCCAGCACAGAAGTGGGAGACCAGAGCCGGCCCGGGGAGGGCTGGCTGGGAAGGTGCCTCTGCCGGGGAGACGCCCCAGGGGGCTTCTGCGGGAACTGTCTTGGGGGAAGAAAGGAAGGTCACCTGGACTCGGGCCTGAAGGCTGGGGGGCTGCTCAGACCCACGCCTCGAGGTTTGCACCTGTTCATCCACTGGCTCAGTGAATTCCTGGACCTGGCTGGACCTTAGATTATTATGTCCGGGGTCTTCAGGCAGGAGAGGGGCTGGTGGGGCCATCAGGGACCTGGGATTTTAGGGGAGCACCAACACTTGGGCAGCAGAAGGGGTCAGCCCATCCATCTCGACACCAGAGCCACAATGGTCACACTGTGGTGACGCGACTCACATCTCTGCTGAAAGCAAGTCACCCCGCAATTGGACAGAGACTGGACAGAGAAGCACAGAAGTGCCCGTGGGGTTCTCCCCAGACCCCAGGACCAGGAGGAGGTGTGTCCCATGCCTGTGAAGGGAAGCGCCACAGCTGACGGTGACGTGTGGGCGTCTGCGTTTGGTTCGGGTTCCGAGAGCCAGGAATGGATTTCACCTCTGAACTGTGTGTTCCAGGGGAGTCCAGAGCCTGGTTTTACCAGGAGCAGGCGTGTGTCCTAGGAGACGTGTCAGGGACGCGTCCCCGGAGCCTGCAGGCAGCCCTGCCAGGGGGGCTGGGCACACGCCAGGCCAGCTCCGCGTTGTCTTGGAAATCTTGGAATGCCACTTGGTCACGTTAGTTGCTGTCCCGGGGGGCCACGGGCAGCCCACCCGCGTCATGCCCAGCAGGAGAAGGCTTCCCACAGTGCCTGGGCTCCTTTTGTCCCACTGGCCACGCAGTGTGCGCAGAGCAAAGGTACTTCTCCCGACCAAAGCCGCCTTCAGCTTCAGGAGCGCCCAGGGAAGCTCAGGAGCCAGCACAGTCCTCACCTCCCTGTCGGAGGCCCCTGGCTGTGGCTTCCCCAGAGGGGGCACCTTCTCCTGGTCTGTCCTGAGGCTGGGTCACCCAGGGCTCGGGCTGGCCGTGCCTCCTGGGCAGGAGGGGGGACGACAAACATCCAGAGGAGTGGCCCAGCTTCCTGTCACTTGCAAACCCGGACATCGTGTGCAAGCAGAGTCTCCCAGGGCAGGCTGAGGAGGCCACTTTCCTGTCCCCAGTGGAGGTGACACTGGTGAATGCCGATGTGTAGGCTTGGTCACGCTGGAGAGGGAACGTGCCTGGGGACCGTGACGCCTGCTGACCCATGGCCTCGCAGCTGTCCCCACCGTGCTCTCCCCTTCTGGTCGCCCTCTCTTCTCCGAATCTGACCAGGGGTGAGCTTCCTCGGGGGCCACAGAACCCCAATGGCCCACGGCAGGTCGGGGCTCCTTGGAGACTCTTCCCCTTCAGCAGGTGCCTCAGCTCACCTCCCCGCCCACAGGCTTCCACAGGGCGGGCATTAACCCCATCCCTGTTCCGCAGGGGGAGGCCAGGCCAGGAGTGTAGGAACCCGCCAAGGTGACAGTGTGTGCCAGATTGAGTGTGTCTTCCTTATGGGGTCCTCAAATGAATCAGCTGGTCATTTTGCAAAACAAACATCTGAATGTTTACGTGCTGGTTTGCTGAGGTGACAGGTGTCCACAAGTGGCCAGCACATTCTCCAACTAGGGATCCAGTCACTTGTCCCTTGTCAGCTGAAGGGCCCAGGTGGCAATGGACAGGGTTCAAGGGCTTTGGGAGGTAGAGACTGCAGGGTGGCTTCATGAATGTCAGCTGCTGGTCCCAGAGGGGATTATGACGCCATCCCGCCTGGGGGTTGGGTTATGTCCTTGGCACAGTTGACCCGGAGGCAGGGTGGCCTGACCCACCCTCCACATGGGTCTTCTCAGCTGACCTGGTAGTGTGGGGGGACAGTGGTGGAGGCTTTGCTCCCTGTTGCTGTGCAGAAGCTCAGGCCCATAGGCCAAGCAAGGCAGGGGCCCTTGGAGGTGAGAGTGGCCCAGGTGGAGAGCCAGCAAGGACGTGGGGACATGGGTCCTGTGAGCCCAGGACTGGGAGTTTGCTGCTGGAGCCCTGAAGCCTGGAAGGCCCCAGGAGTGTCCAGGCCAGCTGGCACACTGACTTTGGCCTCATGAGACTCGAAGCAGGACCCTGGCCAGGCCCACCCCGCATCTCACTACGTTTTAGGCACCAGGTTGGTGCTAATGTGTGGTGCAGCACAGAGACCGGCGCCCTTCCTGCCTGCCTGCTCGGAGCTCTGATGGGCCACCAGGCCCTCGGGGGTGGAATCCTCAGGGTGGACTGGCGTCCACAAGGAGGGCCACGCCAGCAGCAGGCTCCTTCACTGTGAGATGCAGGGTCTGGGCAAAAAGGGACACCAGGTTTCAATCCAGAATTTGGCAAATGGTCCTAGGTGTTCCATTGTGGGCCGTGGTTCCCGCTGACCTGCTGACCCAGTGGGCCGAGGAGGATGGCGGCCAGAGAAGCCCTGCTTGACCTGTTTTCCTCACCTTGAAGGCTGGAAGAGAGGCGAAGGTGACGTCTGGGAGGCTTGGCCCTGTGCAGGAGGCTGCGTGCACGCTCGCAGGGGGCTTTGCTGCCATAAACCCTAAACCTCAGGGCGGTGGGAGGAGGCAGAGGGGACGTGTGTGTGTGACAGTGTCTGGCAGCGGCCCAGACACAGAGCCTACTGTGGGCAGCCTTCTTAGGCTTAGGGTGACCATTTCCTGCAGCTCAGCTGGTGGCATGTCACAGCCGGTGGACTGTCACCCTGGTTCTGTGGATGAGCCGGGCCACCACCATGGGGAGCACCCAGGGCCCTAGGCTACCGAGGCCAGGTCTCCTCCAGCCTGGCCCAGGGGGGTGTGGAGGCGCTCTCTGTGCACGTCGAGCTGTGCCAGGCCATGTAGGCCTCCGGACAGGCCAAGGGAGCAGAAGACCCTCAGGGGGTCACAGACTCCATCAGTCACCCTTGTCCCTTGGGGCCCACAAGTCGACTTCCAGGAGGTCCACTCTATGAAAATAGGGTCTTCAGTCCTTGGTGCCCTTGGTGGAGGATGGGCACAAGGGATGGCTCCAGACTGCTCTTGACCCAGAGTGGCCCGTGGAGTGCCCAGGAGCCTGGCCCCTCTCCTCTCCCGGCAGGAGCAGAGGCCTGCAGGTTCTCAAGTCCTGCTCCGTGAGGTGACACCATCCTAATGCCACCTGAATGAGTATGGGCATGCAGAGCCAGCGTCACGCCCAAGACCTGAGAGCACACGACTCTCCTGCTCAAAGGGCCCTGTGGGAGGCTCAGCACGACACTCTGATCTCACCCTCCTGAGATTCTCGATAGGTTCTGGACGAGGGGCCCTGCCTTTCGCTTTGTGCCAGGACATGGAATTCTGAAGCTGTCCTGGACACAGGAGGAGCAGAGTAGGGTCCCTCCCTGCTCACCACTGTGGCCACACCAGGAGAGGCTGGAGGTTCCGAGGCCGGCCTCGCCTTGTGGGGAGGCTTTCTTTCAGTGGAAATTTCTCGGGATGTAGAGGGCAGGCTGAGAAGAGCCCAGGCTGCAGCTGGACGTCTGTAGCAGGAACACCGGCCTCACCAGGGCCCTGCCAAGGGCTACACCTCCTAGAGCAACTGAAGCAATTTTGCAGACACGTGACTGACAAGAACCACATTTCAGGGAGAAATCAAAGGGCCGCGGTGGAGGCCTGGGGTCAAGGCCTCCGGGAGGAGAGGAAGTTGGGGACTCTCTTGGCTGGACCTTCTTAGAGACCTCAGTGACTAAAATCAACCTGCTAATCCTGGAAAAGGTGAACTGAGTCAGAGTGGCCTCTTCATTGGTCTGTGTGGGACAAAGTGCTGTGACCAGGCTTCGGAGGTGACTGCTAGCCGGGGAGAGATGGCGGGCAGGCAGGGGCAGGCAGAGGGCTGAGCCACTGTGGGTGGTGGGGCTGTGCAGGGACCCGCAGTCCTGCTCACTGGGGGCAGGGGCCTGATTTCTCCCCACTCAGTGAAGGTCATAGGGCCCCCACGCCTAGTGGGGCACCCTCTAGCCTGGGCACAGACCCTGGGTGCATTCTGGGGGCCTGTGTGCATGTGGGGGTGGAGGGCAGCAGGAGAGGATGGCCGGGGGTGGAGCATGGGCTGCATCCTCCTGAGCATGTCCATGGGGGCGTGTGGTGTTGAGAACAGCCAGGAGATTGGCGCTCCTCTTCTCCGGGTGACTTCACAGAGGGGCCCTGGGCCTCAGCAGTGAGCAGAGTCTTCCCTCTTGTTCCAAAGGGACACGGTGGCTTTCCTCCAGATGCCCTGGATTCCCAGGGAAATCTCTTTCTCCATCAGCTGATAAGACTGTCTTTCCCCTTCACCTCCTGTCCCTGACGAGAGGCAGAATCCAGACCATGTGCCTCCTGGGGCAGGTGCAGAGTTCCGCCTGGGGACTCCGGGGCACCATCTTTCTTAGGGGCTCTAGGCCAAGAAGGATTTGGGGCCTCTTCATCTCAGCCTAAGTAAGCTCCCCACAGCGGGACCACATCTACGCTGTTCATGTCTCCATGCCCGGCACCTGACCCAGGGCCAGCGCAGGACCTGACCCAGGGCTGGCACAGGGTCAGCGCTTGAGAAATGAGACCTGAATGGGTGGATTGGTGGGTGGATGGGGCATGGACGGGTGGATGGGGCATGGATGGGTGGATGGGGGATGGATGGTGGGGGATGGATGGATGGATGGGGGATGGGTGGTGGGGGATGGACGGGTGGATGGGAAATGGATGGACGGGTGGATGGACGTTTGGAGGAGTGGATGGGTGGTATATACATGGATATTTAGGCAGATGGGTGGATGGGCGAGTGGACAGGTAGCTGTGTGTGTGTGTAAATGAAGAGACAGGAGAGCTGAAGTGGGTAGATGGGAGGCAAAGTTGGAAGTTCGGAAGCTGCTGTCTGGGTCCAGTGAACTGGAGGGCGGCTCTCAAGTGCTGTGAGTGCGATGCTGACCACCCCCTCCCTGGACACTCACGTGGTAAGAGGCTCGCTCCTCCCGGTCCATGGGCCTCGTGACGTACATGCGTCCAGACATGGAGTCGATGCTGAAGACCTCCATGGGGGGCTGGTCGGCGCCCACGCCCGTGATGCTATACCGAATGGGAATGTCGTTGTCTTTGTCAGACCGGATCTGAGAGGGAGGACACAGGAAGGGTCAGCCTGCTGTGGGGACCGGGCTTCCCAGACACAGCCACCCTACCAGAGTGACTCGATGAATTTTAAGATACACCGGGGACCGCGGCTGATTTTCCATCTGCTCTGGGGACAGGAAGGACAGTCAGTGGTTAGTGTGTCCCATGGCCAGTCAGGTAATGGGAGGGTACAGCGTCTGGATGGGGAGTGTGGGACGCCTGGTGGAGAGCCACTCCTCAGGTTGATTACAACGCCCCGAGGAGTCCAGGCCGGGCACAGAGCAGGCGGAGGCCTGGGGAGAGGGTGTGCAGAGGCCAGGGGAGAGCCCCCTTGCTCCACAGAGGAGGCCCTGGGAGAGGGTCCTGGTTGGTGCCTCACAGTAGGACCTTGGTCACAGAGGGGTGACAGAAGGTGGTGGCCGAGCAGTGCTTGGCCAGGAACTGAGCGCTGACTGCCCTTGTCACTGTGATTACAGAGCTAAGTCAGCACAAAACCTTCCTCAGAGAAGCTGCGTTGTGTTGAAAAGCAGCCCAATGGGGCCTGGCCCCAACGCCAAGGTGAGACGGGGAGGAGAGCGTTGGGGCGGGGCCAGGGCCTGCGTTGGCACGGGGCACAGCCGTTTTATTTGAGACCAAATCGTTGGGCGAACAGAGACCTTTGGGAAGCAGAAAGGACAATGCAGAATTAAGAATTGTGTGTCTCTCACCAGTGACAGCAAATGTCTGTGAGGGCCGAGGGACGCGGGGACATGGCACCATGGGCAGGAGTGCATCACCGCTAAGGGAGGTGCCTTGCTTGGGCTCTGAAAGCCGAGGTCCAGGGGGCGGCACCCCCAGGCTTGTGTTCAAGTTTGGCGACACCTTTGGAAAGCACCGCTCCTCAGGACCTCCAGGCTCAGGGGACCACGACAGCGTTCTGTGACCAGATGGACCTTAGGGACAATGTCGAAATGTTCCACAGAACAAATTGACCATGACTTTTTGCTGAAGCATTAAAATGAAAATTTAGTGGTAAAACTTAAAAAGAAGAACTTTTGTTCTGAAATAGCCACTCGGTCAAGTAGGACTCACAAGTGCTGTTTAAAAATATCCACGAAGCTCAGTCACAACTAGGAGACTCTCGCAGGGTGAAAGCCCGAGACGGCGTCCAGCCATCGTGCTCGCCCCAACGCACCCACACTCAGAAGAGAGCTACAGTAGGAGAAGGAAGGGAGCACCTGGCGGCAGGAGGAAGGGACCTGGAGCGGGATGCCGGAGCCCCACTGATGGTGGGGACCATGGTGTCTAGGCCTGAGGAGCAGCAGGCCAGGAGCCAGCCTCGGGGCTTCTCAGGAAACTAACGCACATTTGCAACTTTATCTGGGTACCAGGGGCTGAACTTAGGGGTGCTTAACCACTCTGCCTCCACCCAGCCTTTTATTCTGAGACAAGGCCTAACTGAGTTGTGAGGCTGGCTTCACACGGAGGACCCTCCTGCCTTAGCCTCCCAAGTCACTAGGATCCCAGGTGAGCGTCATCAAGCCTGGCACCTTTGGTACCTTTACGAGGAAACAAAAGAGACTTTTAACACCCTGTTTTTTATATGTCACACAAGCACAACTGAGAAGCCTGATGACATTGACATGTTTTGAGACAATAGAAACAGACCGGAGCCGTGAAGGGGGCGACAGACCTCATGTCTGCAGGAGGCTCCAGCCTGCGGGGCAGGGGCTTTCCCAGAGCAGAGAGAGAAAAGCACCCTCTGGGTGTCACAGAGCCTGAGAGCCAGGACGTGCTGTCCCTCTGGGGCAGTGAGCCGGGCTGCGGGCCAACCCCAGGAGTGGTGGGAGGGGCCCCGACAGGCCCTGGAGCCCCTCACCTCCCGGGAGCAGGTCGGTCCCAGACGCACCTCTGCAGGGGAGACAGGCAAGGGCCGCAGCGGAGGCTGCAGAGGAATGCGATGACCATTCTTTCCTGTTCAAGGTGTTCCCCACACCGCAAGCCACACCCCAGGAAGCCCCCGCTCTTCGGAGGCAGACCCTGCAGGACCAGCTCTCCCTGTAGCTGTACCAGAGCCCTCCACTATGGGTAGAGGTGCCCCTGCCACCTGCCACCCCCCTCCACCCTGGAGGGCACCAGTCATGGCGACAGGAAGCAGAAGTCTTCACCTGGGAGTGAAAGGAGGCGGGTTCTGATGCAGGTCACGGTGAGTCTGCGGAGGAGGCGGCTGGGACACAGGGGCTGTGTGTGTGCTGTCATGGCATTTGCCCTCTGGTGTGTGCACACCACCGGGCTTTGAGCCCACCAGCCTGGGCAGCACAAGCTCCAGCTGGGTCTGAATTGACCCCCTCCTCTGCAGGAGGCCACAGGGTAGTGTCCCCTCAGAGCCAGCCCGGCTGAGGCAGGGTGTTCTCCCCCTGTCCTCTGTGGGCGAGGCCCTAGGGAGTTTCACAAAGCTTTGGCCACCAGGCCACACAGGGCGAGTCTCACCTGTGCCCGACTGTCCCTCTGTGGTGGGAGAGGGGAGCAGGAGGCTGTGACCCCCCAGGCAGGGCCTGTGGGCTGGTGTGTGTGACTGGGTTAGGATGAGGGCACAGAGGGCCTTGAGTGCTGCCACCAGGTCACCCTGGACCCCAGGGACACGCGGAGCCAGGGGAACCTTGGAGGCAGGCAGGGCGCGCAGGAGGCCACCAGCCAGGGAAGACGGCGCTGCTCGCGGAGCTGCCACTGCCGCGTCTTCAGGCCGAGCCCCGCCTTTCACGGGAAATTTAATCATACAACCGCTGAAAAGGACCTGCCACAACTTAAAGATGATTGTTTTGCACAGAAATCTCATTATGTTCTGACCACTGGGCCGCATTTGCTGAGTTCTTCAGGGCCGCTCGGCGCTGCCTTGTGACACACGAGGGCAGTGGGCCACAGTGGGCCGGCGTCTGCCCGGGTCTTGGCAAGTGCTCTCAAGTGCCCAGAATTCTCCCACGGTTTTCCACGTGAGGAAGAAACACTGTGGTGATTCACCGGATCAGGGGAGAGCGGTTTCCCCCTTGGTTTGTGTCTGGAAAGTGAGAAAAACATCACAGCAGTGTGTGGGGGCGGGGGCGCCAGGAAGGAGGAGCGCAGCCATTGTTCCCATCACACTCCGGGCTTCATGGTGCCACAGAGAATCGCCCTCTTTTGCATTTGTTATTAAAGGACAGAACAGATGGCGAAAGTTTGGTTTAAAGTGATGTCTGCATTAAAATAACGTATGGCGGCCTGTGATCATGCCCGCCCAGGGCGCCTGTGAGGCCGGCTCTGTCCTTGGGAAAGGCTGGTGGAGGGGTTCTGGCAGGACCAGCTGAGCAGGAGCGGGTGCTGGGTCCCACAGGAGGCCGAAGCTGACAAGACCCCCGTGTGTGGCCCTGCACCTGGTGTCCACCAGAGACCTCACCTGTCGGGGGAGACCCTCGGCCTTGAGCAGGCAGTCAGCAACTGCCCCATGCAGGGCCAGAGGGGCTGCAGGACCACACGGCCTGCCTGGCAGGTCACCTGCTACAGGCTACAGCTGTCTACCAAAGGGACACCCCTAGTGACAAACATGCAGACCGTGTGAGGGACGGGGCCTGGAGCACCTTGGAGGAGGTCAGGTCCACCCTGAGCCATTTGCTCATGTTCACTGTCTTGCACAGTTCCTGGGCCCACAGAAGCATGCACACACACACACACACACACGCAGTCCAACAGATGCACACACAAATGTACACAAACCCAACACATGCGCACACATAAACATGCACACACACAGCAAATAAACAATACAACACACACACTTCACAGAAACATGCAAATACAAACATGCCCACATGAACACACACAGACACCTAACACAGCACAAAGACTCCCACAAACACACAGGTACACACCCACACGTGTGTGCCCACCGTGGCTCCCCCTCCCTGGGCTGCCTCCTGGAGGAGGGCTGGCCTGCGGTTCTGCCACCGTGCAGCCCCCTGGTCCCCCCTGGTCCCCCCTGCATTTCCAAAGGTGGCTTCACACTCCTGCTCAGGTCTCCCACCAGGACCTTGTTCTGAGGACTTTGTCTTAAGCCCGAGGCTTTCTCCTTGCACCATGTTAAACCCCGAGGTCCCAGGGAGACAGTGCACAGCTCTCCTTTCTGTCACCTGTCGATTCTTGGGTGGCCTGCAGCAGAGCCTCCTCTCCTCCTGCTCCAGGTGCAGGCTGCGGGCGCTGGCTCTCCTTCCTCCCTCCTGGCCGGGCCGAGAGGGGCGATTTTGTCTTAAGCCCTGACTCTGCTGGAGCCCAGAGGCAAGGCTCAGCCAGGTCTCACGGTGACGGTCACTCCTGGTCTTGGCTCTCATGCTGCCAGGGCACCAGGTTTTCCAGGGTTCTGTGACTGTGCTGCTGCTCTCCAGGGACGGCTCCCTCCCCGCCTCCCTTCCCTGCCTCCCTCCCCGCCTCCCTCCTCCTGCCTCCCTCCTCCTGCCTCCCTCCTCCTGCCCCCTTCCCTACCTCCCTTCCCCACCTCCCTCCTCCTGCCTCCCTTCCCTGTCTCCCTTCCCCGCCTCCCTCCTCCTGCCTCCCTCCTCCTGCCCCCTTCCCCACCTCCCTCCTCCTGCCTCCCTTCCCTGTCTCCCTTCCCCGCCTCCCTCCTCCTGCCTCCCTCCTCCTGCCCCCTTCCCTGCCTCCCTTCCCCGCCTCCCTCCTCCTGCCTCCCTCCCCGCCTCCCTCCTCCTGCCCACCTTCCCTTCATTTCTGAGCTCTGAGGTTGCCCTGAGGCCACTCTGGGCCCTGGACACACAACAGGGTGATCTGTCCCAAGAGTGGCTTGCCCAGGCCTGACACCGAGCGCTTGGCCGGTGCCCAATAACTACTGGATGAACAAATGAAATAAGGAGGCCGGGTCCACGGACAGGGTGGACAGACAGCCACCAGGTCACCAGTGTGGTGTGGGCAGAGGGAGGGTTTGGAGGAGCCACCACCTTGAGACCCGGAGGATGAGAAGGGGCAGGGGTGGGGCGTC